AGCTTGGTGGCAACCGGTCGATTAGTAGGGCTCAGAGACAAGCACTGCATGGCCAACTCACGAACCCAACGGGGCATTGTCTCTGTAAACGTTGGCTTGAGGCGCCCGGAGACCAATGCGGCAAATATCGCAGTGTCCTTGATGGACTGATGACGACTTGGCCGATACACCATGTCGTTGTATGGAATATCGTGTGTGTCGATTTCGGAGAGCAGCATCCCTACGTGACAGAAGGTGAGCGATGTATATGAGAGGATAGTCCAGTGAAGTGTACGCACCAAATGAATAAATGTCGGCGGCCGTCGTAAACCCGTAGCCTTGAAGCACTTCAGGTGCCATCCAACGGAACGCATCGACGTCCTTGGTCATGGCCATTTCAAAAGTTTCGTTGGGATTGCCAAGGCCCGTCAATTTCGTTCGTTTCAAAGGGTCCAGCAAAACGTTTCGAGCTTTGAGGTCCCGGTGGATGACACTTTTCGAATGCAAGTACTCGAGGCCACAGGCAATGTCGAGAATGTGACCGCACTTGATCTTCCATGGCACGGTAGCGACAGAATTGTTGTCCAAATACGTCCTCAGGTCCCCTCCAGTCATCAATTCCATAAAGTACATGAGGTCGCCTTGCTTGGTTTTGCCCGGCCCAAGGAAGGCCACGACAAATGGGCTCTTGAATGTCGACATGAGATCAATTTCGTCCGAGAAGGACTGAATCTGGTCCACTGTCTTGGCACTTGAAACAACCAATGCTTTGACAGCGACGTCTCGGTCGTGCAGAGTGCCTTTGTACACGTTAGAGCATCCTCCAGTGCTCAAGACGTGCATGAAACCGAATGTGATTGTGTTCAGGTCATAACATGGAAATTTTGATGCGTTCACCAGTTGAAGACGGCGAGGAGTTGCGATTGGATTGTATCCAGGGTGCGTTGTGACTGAAGAGTTGGTCTCGTGTGACTTCCGCCGACGTCGCAGGACGAGGCACGCGACACTCCCCCCGAGCATAAGCGCCGCCCCGAGAGTAATGCCAACGGTAATCACAACGTTCGAAGATGTCTCGGTGAGCACAGGTGTCGTCGTAGACGGTTGAGTTGGGGTGCCCGTCGTGGTCGGTGGCAATGTGGATACGAACGGAGACGTGGCCGAGGGTGGCAATTTGGTGAAGGAAGTGTCTATATCCACACACATGCGATGTTAGATAGATGTTTCGATTCGACGAGGCGTACCAGGCAAAACACATACAGCAGCTGTCGTCTTGCCCCAAAGCGTTGTACGATTCGCCAAATTACAAGAATTGGAGTTAATCTGGAGGCTTTTGGCCTCGTATCCGTTGGATTTGTTTGGTGTGGCGGCCTGGAGCTTGCTGACTGCATCGTAGGTAGGCTTGTCCATGGTCCAGCTGACCAGGTTGAGATTGTTGAGTGTTCTAATGGTGGGTGAGTGTGCTTGATACGTTCTTGTATACCACAAGCACGTACAAATTTTCGAGTTTGGAACTGAGTAAAACATTCGAAATGACGTGAAGCGCCGGGCTGTCGCTCAAGATCCTAGTCGAGAGTGATGCAAATTGTCGATCATCACGTACAAACTGGGGCGTACAAAGTGGAGAGTTGGCGCCAGTCCAAGTTGGCGAGTTCGTCGATTTCATTTTGAGCCAGAGACCTATGAACATGTCAGAGGACCCATGCATCACACGGTGAACGTACAAAAACGTGAGCGAAGGTGGTAAAGGCTCGAATGACTGGGAATCCGGTACTGCGGTCGAGTTCAACCACCTACACGTGCCAGTCACTCGTGGTTTGCATCGCGGATTCCGTACAGTTTTTTCAACGAACGTGGAAAGGCTGGAAGCGTCGAGATGGCGCAGGAAAGGATGGACCTATGCAATCATCAACGTGTGTCACAAGCGATGTGGGCATACAATTCCGCGATTTCTCTGGGCCATTTTACATTCGACGAGATGTCGATCTCGTCCACCTCTTGAAAGGTCCTGCACACAGCGAACTGTTGATTCGACCTTTCATGCCAGTGTTCGTACAATTTCGATAATTGAGCTGGCCACTCGAAATCTCCGAGGAGCTTCACCGTGGGGAAGTTGATGAACGACCTACGTCGAGTAAGCCATGGAGTTCAATGGAGGCAACGTACAATTCGCTGATATAGTCGGGTAGCGCGAAGTTCGACAAGTCGATCACTTCGTTGTCGCCATCGAAAGAGAGCTTCCTAGCAGGCATGGTTGTATACGACCACTCAAGGGACAGGAATCGTACGTGTAGCCCGACGAGTGTTGTGGATAGTCCATAAAGTACCCAATCCTGTTAAAAGTGGAATTGTTCTGCTTCTTGCAGGCCCGATCCACGACGCATACTTCGTGGCAATAATGGCTGTCCGATATCAAAATCAAGGCGTCTTCGTCCAAATCATCATATTCGCAAGCCATGGACAGGGCTACTGCGGCCGCCATGCAGACCAGAGCTTGCTTCATGGCTGAGTCAAATCGACTAATGGAGCTGGATCGGTCAGCCGTGAATTTGGCAGCTGTGCCTGCATGAGCCCGGATAAGAGTCAAGTGTGTGTTATGCTTCACGTGCAAATCGTAAAATAGCTATCCTTCTTCTGAAGGCGGTGGCAGGTCCATTTCCTGAACTTTTGGAGGAAGTTACACGGACATCCAACGTGCACTAAGTTCGCCTAACATAAAATGGACAGTGGTCAGTTATCTTGGTGTTTGTT